TGCCACAGGCAGGGGCAGGAGCCCCAGCACCACCACACCAAGCACCCACTGGAAACCATCCCTGTGTCCCCAGCATTTGGCCTCCCAGGGTCCCCACGTTCGGAAAACGGGGCAAAAAAAAAATCATCAAAGCAAACACAACATCCCAGAGGTTGGTTGGTTGGTTTTTTTATCCCCAATAAAATGGAACTTTTTGCTTTTTTTTTTTTTTTTCCTGGCTTTTTGTTTTCTTTTTCCTTGCCTTGTTGTTGTTGTTGCTCAAAGGCACCTATTGAGAGCCTGGGGCTCCCTGGCCATGGGAAGTGACTTCGGCCACGGAGCTGCAACCACAGTCATCCCAGAGCCCTGAGCAAGGGAATGAGGAGCCTCCCACTCCAAACCCCACCTCTAACCACCACCCAACCCTTCTCACCCCAGATGGGGTAACCTGAGACAAACCCCCCTTTTTATTTTCCATGGCTTTTTTGGTCCCAGCCCTCAGGTCTGGGCTTGCAGTGAGTCCCTGGGAGGGGGGGAGGAATGTTGAGCTGCTGCCCTGCCCCTGGTTGGAGTGGGATGGGGAGATGGTGGTGGTTCCCCAAAATGTTTTGCAACTTGAAAAAGGGGAAGGTGACCCCCAAAATGTGGCAGACATGGAGTCCTCCTGTCCAGGAGGGCTGCAAAAGCCAGCTGGAAACACAGGGTCTGCTCAGGAACAGGGTGAGCATCCCTGCCTTTTGGGGGGAGGAAGAGGAGGAGCACGAGGGAGGAAGGCAGAGGAAAATGAGCCCAGGGAGAAAGTCCTGGGAAAAATGAGCAGCAGGTTGGGAAACATTCTCCAGGCTGACCCATTTCCTTTGCAAAGCCAAAGGTCCTGGTGGCCCCAAAGTCCTGCAGGGGGGATCCCATCAGGATCGGGGGGCTGTGTCCTGCTGTGGGACCCCACCTGCACCCCAGCCCTGGGTGCCCACAGTGCCAAAAGGGGTTCAGCCCCTTTGGGGGGTCGTGCTGAGCCTGTTCCCAGCCCCACAGACCCCCTTGGTCACCCTTCTTAAGCACTTCTTGGTCAGTTGGTCACTCCTTAAGCACTGAACGGGTCAATTAGGTTATTCTGGTTGGGGGATTTAGGTTATGGTTGGACTTGATGATCTTCCTTTCCAACCAGGATGATTCTGTGATTCCCCCCAGCATCAAGACACCAACCCAAGGCTCTGCTGGGCATTGAAAGACCAGCCCAGCTCTCTGCTCTCAGCTGAAAAAAAAAGAAGATTAAGGGGCAAAAAAAAAGAATAAAAAAGCTCTTCTAACATGCAAGGGCCTGGCTCCTATAAACAGGATTTCTTCTGTGTCCCAGGCAGCAAGTGAATGAGACACAGATGGCTGGACTTGGAACACCTCTGTGTTTGCAACCACAAAATGATCCCCCCTCAGATGAAGGAGTGGGATGGAAGGACGAGCCCCCGTGGATTCTGCATCCCAACAAAACCTCCTTCTCTTGGGTTTGTTTTCAGCAGAGAGGCCTGTGAGAGGGAAGGGAAGATGCAGCTGGGGTCTGGGCTGGCTGTGCCTAAGGAGGGGTCTCCTGCCCAGCCTGGGGTGCTTTTTGGGCTCAGCCCTAGAGAAGAAAGACCCCCCCATCCCTCAGGTCCATCTCTGAGGGCTTCGAGCCATCCCTGAGCTGGTGCAGAAGGAGCAAACAAACCAGTTTGGAACCACAGCTCCTTAAATCAGTCCAGCCCCCTCTGCTGGAGGGCACCTCCCAGCCCTTCTCACCCCCCCCCCAGCCCCCAGGGGGGTGCAGCCCACCCCCCAGCTCCCCAGGCAGACCCACTTACTGCCTCTGCCATTTGCAGCCTGGGTGACTCTCACAGCCCATCTGTGCCACCCAAAAATAGCAGGCAGGGCCTTTCTGCAGGCTATTTCTGCTGGGTGATGGCACCACAGGAGAACCAGGCTGTGGTCACACGTCGTTGGCATCCCCCTCCACCCCCAATCACCCCAGGGGACACGGGTGACAAGTTCCTCTCCCCCAAACCTGTCCCCCCTGCCACCCGTGTCCGGTCCCTGCTGGATGTGATGGGTCCCTTGGACCTGTCAACAGCCCCACATGAGGAACAGCTCAGGGACCAACTGGAACCAGCACAGCCTGGCTCAGAAAAGCCCTTTTTAGGCAGCAGGCCCATGTCACCAGGGTGCCACCAGCAGCCACCCCCGGGCTGGGAACGGCGCCGGGTGACTCATCTGCTTGTGCTGCCCCAGCTGGAAACAGATCCCGCAGGGACCCAGAGCTCCAAGGGACCCTGGGGAGGTTGTCACCTGCCCCAGGGCCAAGGCACAAAGTGGGGGCATTAGAGAATCACAGAATCGTGGGGTGGGGTGGGTTGGAAGGGACCTGAAAGCTCATTCAGTCCCACCCCCTGCACAGGCAGGGACACCTCCCAGCAGCCCAGGCTGCTCCAAGCCCCATCCAACCTGCCCTTCAACACCCCCAGGGATGGGGCAGCCACAGCTTCCCTGGGCAACCTGGCCCAGGCTCTCCCCACCCTCACACTCCACAATTCCCTCCTCAGCTCCAACTTCCAGCTCCCTCTCCCACTTTTCATCCCTCCCCCTCATCCCATCCCTCCCTGCCCTTGTCCCAAGTCCCTCCCCAGCTTTCCTGGAGCCCCTTCAGGCACTGGAAGCTGCTCTCAGGTCTCCCTGGAGCCTTCTCCTCTCCAGGCTCAACACCCCAACTCTCCCAGCCTGGCTCCAGAGCTGCTCCAGCCCTCCCAGCATCTCTGTGGCCTCCTCTGGACTCTCTCCAACAGCTCCATGTCCTTCCTGTGTTGGGGACCCCAGAGCTGTTCCCAGCCCTGCAAGGGGTCTCACCCATGGATTCAGAACCACATCCTGCCCCAGGGCAGGGGATGGTGACAACAGGGGTGTCCCCTGCTTCCCGGGATGCCCTGTGCTGGGTGCTGCCCACCCAGCGAGGGAGGATGAGGAGCAGGAGGGGTGGGAAGGGGTCTCACCTGCACTGGCTGGTCGCTGGGGCAGCCCTGGGGACACCGTGTTCCTCTGCAGCGCCGGCTGCTGCGGCGACAGGAGCCGCGGGTCGGTCAGCGAGGAGGTGACCAGGGACTGGGTCACCAGGGAACTGCCAGGGTTGCTGAACTGCAGCGTGTTCTGGTTGGTCACGGGCACCGTGACGGGCATGGCGAAGTTGGGAGCGGGCACTGCAGACTGGGGAGAGAGAGAGCAGGGGTGAAGGGGGGCAGGGGAGGTCGTGGAACCACCCAGTGGGCTGGGGGGGCCTTCCAGATCACCTATTCCCAACCCCCTGCATGGGCAGGGACACCTCCCACCAGCCCAGGCTGCTCCAAGCCCCATCCAACCTGCCCTTCAACACCCCCAGGGATGGGGCAGCCACAGCTTCCCTGGGCAACCTGGCCCAGGCTCTCCCCACCCTCACACCTCCAAGGTTCCCCACTTCTGGAGCCCAGATCCTGCACCACATCAGCACCAACACTCCAGTGCTGGAACAGGGGGGACAATCCAGGGCCCCCTCCAAGCCCCCATTTCCCTGCTGCCCTTGCACCCCTGCCCACGCTGACATCTGAGAGGGTTGCAGCAGGGAGGACAGGGCAGAGCCAGCCCAACTGCTCACACACCCCCAGCTCTGCAGCCCCTTCTTGGCTCTCATCCCCAGGCTGGATTTATCTCCCCCCCCCGTGGTTTCAGGGCTGGAAACACCCCAAAGCTCCACAGTGGGCAGCACCAAGGGGGTCTGGTTCTGTCAGCCCAGCCCTGAGCCCCCCACAGGGGTCATGCAGCCCACGGGGATCTGCTGAGACCTTTCCTCACCATGAGGGATGGGAAGAGCCCTCCCAAAGAGCCAGCAGCTGATCACTGGTGGCTGAGGGCTGGGAAAAGAGCAGTGTCATAGAAAATGAGCCACCAGCTCCAAGGGCCACCAGCTCCAGGGGCCACCAGCTCTGAGAGCCACCAGCTCCAGGGACCACCAGCTCCAGGGGACACCAGCTCCAAGAGCCACCAGCTCCAAGGGCCAACTCCAAGAGCCACCAGCTCCAGGGGCCACCAGCTCCAAGAGCCACCAGCTCCAAGGGCCACCAACTCCAAGAGCCACCAGCTCCAAGGGACCAGTTGGGCACTTCCCAGACCTTTCCAGACTGCTGGGAAGGGCTGCAAGGCTGAGCCCTCCCTCTGCTTGGCCCCAGGAGCTTATTCCAGATGGAAAACTGGGGGTACTGGGGGAAGGTCTTTTGGGCACTGTGTGATCAGTGAGTGTGGGAGGGGAAGGGGAAGGGAAGAGGGACGGGGAAGGGGAAGGGAAAGGGGAAGGGAAAGGGAAAGGGAAAAGGAAAGGGAAAGGGAAAAGGAAAGGGAAAGGGAAAGGGGAAGGAAAAGGAAAAGGAAAAGGAAAAGGAAAAGGAAAAGGAAAAGGAAAAGGAAAAGGAAAAGGAAAAGGAAAAGGAAAAGGAAGGAAATGCACTCCCAGGCCACCAGCAAAGGGGTCCCAGGTCTCCCCCCACCCCCAGGGAAGGGCACAAGTAGGGACAGTGGCTCACACATCAGTCCAACATCTGGGCTGGGGGGAGATGCACACACCAGCCAAACCTCAAGCCTTGCTGCTGCTTCCATTAAAAGCCAGTAAAACACCAGTGCAGAAGCCAGACCCAGGATTCCCTTGAGCAAACAAGGCTGTTGTTAAAGCTCCCCTGGCTGCAGAGCCTGGTTAGTTCTGGTCACACACCAAACCAACCCACAGCTGGTTAAGGAGGATAAAGCATCTTCTCCAACCACACACACTCCCCCTGCCTCGCTCAGACCTGGTTTTAGTTGGGGGGTGGGGGGGGAGCCAGATGCTGCACCCGGACTACGAAGCACCTAAATGTCACCAGCCCCCAAAAAATGACTCCAGGGCACGGACTGACCCTTCACAGCACATCTGGATGCTGCCCAGGGTGCTGGGAACCTGCTGGGAGCAGCAGGAACCCAGGGATGCTGAGCAGTCCCTGCCTTCCCAGGTTGTTTTGCACCAAGGAGAAGCTCTGCTGGGTTTTTTACCCCTTTTCCACCAGTTCAGGGTTTGTGCAAGGATGGAGCAGCACCCCATGGAAGCCCCAGGGGGTGGAAACCTGCTCCCCATTGGAGAAAGTTCCAGGAGGACCAGCCAAGTGTGGTGGGATCTAACCCAGCACTGAAGCCCCCCTGTCTGGCTGTCAGACCAGAGCTGCCAGCACCCACTGCTGCCTGCACCCTGTTTGGCTTCAGCTCCCCAGCTCTTGGGGCAGCCACCCCCTCCAAAAAATAATGCAGGGGATGGAGATGCAGATGTTGGGGTCCCTGGGGGGGTCCTGGGGCTCAGCTGCTGAGTCAGCAAGATGAAGAGCCACGGATTTCACAAGATCCAATTGGCAAGAAAAGCCAGAATTTTAACTTGTATCATAGAACCAGGGATGGGTTGGGTTGGAGGGACCTTCAAGGTCATCTAGTACCAACCCCCTGCATGGGCAGGGACACTTCCCACCAGCCCAGGCTGCTCCAAGCCCCATCCAACCTGCCCTTCAACACCCCCAGGGATGGGGCAGCCACAGCTTCCCTGGCCAACCTGGCCCAGGCTCTCCCCACCCTCACACTCCACAATTCCCTCCTCAGCTCCAACCTCCAGCTCCCTCTCCCACTTTTCATCCCTCCCCCTCATCCCATCCCTCCCTGCCCTTGGCCCAAGTCCCTCCCCAGCTTTCCTGGAGCCCCTTCAGGCTGTGGGATGGGGCTTGCAATGCAGAGAAGGGATGATTATGGTCAATGTCATGTTTTGGGGGGGGTCATTTTTGCAGTGCTGCCTCCAGCCCCTGCCCCTTGAGCCTCCTCTCTGCTCCTGGCAGCATTAATTACGGCTGCAGTGACTTGGGGCTAATCCCTTTGAAGAAACCTTCCCTGCATCACCAGTCTCTGCTCCCTTGAACTAACAACTAATTTGCCATGGGTCCCCCTCCTCCTCCTCCTCCTCCTCCCAGCTCCTGACACAAATCCCTTTCAGCTCTGTCCTGATGCCACCCCAGTGATGGCTCTAGGATCCCAGGCTAAAACCTCCCTGGATTCCTGCCACAGCCACCAGCTGCCCCCAGGGCCTGCTGGATTTGGGGGGAATTAATGCAGAATAGGCCAAACCAGGCTGAGACTTGCAGAGAGGAGAGGAGATGAGGGTCTTAACCCAGGTAAAAAGCACTTTTTGGGGGGGAAATGGGGCTACAAAGTGAGGCCTCAACCCAGCATTTGCAGCAGAGAACTGGGATGTCACCAGGTGTTGTCCTGCCAGAGCCAAGGAGGCTCAGGAAGACCAGAGTTAAAGGGAATGGCTTTCATAGATTCATGAGATGGTTTGGGTTGGAAGGGACCTTAGAGATCATCTAGATCCAATCCCCCATGGGCAGGGACACCTCCCAGCAGCCCAGGCTGCTCCAAGCCCCATCCAACCTGCCCTTCAACACC